ACACAAGCAGGGGGAGTGGGAGAGGGAGAAGCAGGCCTCCCACGGAGCAGGGAGCCCGATGTGGGGCTCCATCCCAGGACCCTGGGATCATGACCCCAGCCGAAGGCAGACGCCTAACGACTGAGCCACCCAGGCGCCCCAAAATTGTTCTTTTTTTTAATATAACATTTTGAATAGACAATACACCCACATAGTTTAAAAACATAAAATTCAATGAAAATACAAGGTACACTGAAAAGTCTTGCTCTTACCCAAGTCCTCCACCTCATTTCTCCAATCAAAGACGAACCAGGTAACCACTTGGGTTCATTTCTTGTGCATTCTGCCAATGCTTCTTTCTATAAGAAACTGTGAGTATATATTTAAAATCTTCCCTGTTTTATATCCAAAAGGTAGCATTCATACATACTTTTCCCAGCTTAAAAAAAATGTAACAATATAGCTTGGAGATCTTTCTGTGCCAATAATAATAATAATACAAAGCATAGCTAACCCTTATCTTGATACTCTTCTAATGCTTTACATATATTAACTCATTAATCCTCATGACAACCCTATCAGGTAGGTTCTATTATTATATTGATTTTACAGATGGCAAAACTGAGGTACAGAACACACATACCAGTGGTATGCTGATAGTATGTAACACATGGCTAAGAAAAAAGTTCCCATCTGTAGCATTTGCCAATTTCGGAGGTGTAAATATCCCCACCATGGCTGATTTCCAGCTAACAATGTGAAGATACTGAACACCAAGCTGGGAGGAGATGCCCAGTCACGTACCATTATGTAATATTTCTCTCATACAGGTGTTTAGACCTAAATAGCCTAGTCAAGACGTAGATAACAGTCTAGTAAAATAACTAGGAGGTGATGAATTGAGTATTTATTATCTTTGTAATAGTTATTTAATCATAAGTTTATATAATTTAATTTTTAATAATTGCTGTGCTAAACAAACAGTTGACAAAATCCTAGAAAATTGAGGATTTTGTGACCCAGGGTGACTATGCTGCGTGTTACATAGAACTTAATCCAGACTTAACCCCAAACAATTCAGAGTCCATGCCCTTAAGCACGCCTTAAAAAAAAAAAGAGAGAGTTTATTTATTTATTTAAGAGAGAGAGAGAGAGAGCATGAGAGGGGGTCGGGTCGGGTCAGAGAGAGAAGCAGACTCCCTGATGAGCAGGGAGCCCGATTCGGGACTTGATCCT